AGGGGGCCCCATCCCACCACGATCCCACAGCCACAGTAAGTGCTTGGCTCACGTGTCGTATGGGCGTGGGACACCAATTGGGAGGGGACGTGTGGGGAAAGGAGCGTGGGAACACGTGGGCGCTTTTCTAGAAAGCTTCTTAAAGCCCGAGAAGATAAGCAAAGAGAGGCATTGGTGGTTAAACACACCCCTTGTGAGCATTTCAGGATCAATTCTGTTTGCAAAGTCTAGAATGCAGATATTTCTAGCAACACCCGTTTCTCCAAAAGGAGACTTTAAAAGGGAAGAAAAAGAATGGTGCTTACTCTTTATTGCCTAAGCACCCTATTTCAGTTTTAAAGAGCTTTTTCAACCCAAATGCTAGCTACAGCCAGGCAGTCTTTTCCTAGCCCCGGGCTAAAAGTGTCTCAATAATGGAACCACGCCAGGTTGGATTATTGCCTATCAGGACTGAGGATAGAATTCTAGTGACGGGCTCCATCCACCCACGTTGTAAAATAATCAGACCAGGAACGAATTGACGCTGGTGTTGGCCAGCAAGCCCGGGGGGCGCTAGTAAAACATTTGTGTCCTCTGTTTGCTCCAACTTCTCATGGGAGAATAGAAGAGAGTGTATGGGCAGTGAGCTAAATTTAGGATTAACCAGGTCTAATCACAGAAGGGATGGAAGAAATAATAAATGGGGGGGGGGGGGAGAAAATCAGTTCTTTTCCACCAGTCAAAAACTCAAAACTCCTATATGTGAAAACATAAAAATAAATAAGTACACTTTTTGCCTGGCCTGTATGGCTCAGCGGTTGAGTGTTGACCCATTTGGGAAAATCCAGATGCCCAGGCCCACCCCTCCCTGGCCCAGCCCCTGCCCACCTCACCCCTACATCTCTCATAGGCCCTCCCGATGCCCCAGGCTCTCTCTGGCTGTACCAGGTTCCTTATGGTTCTCAGTGAGTGCCATGTTCTCTCCTCTCCTACCCAGCTATGCATTCCTCCCCGGGACCCAGCCCTGCCCAATTCCCTCTGCAGGATGCATCCCTGCCTCTGCCTCTGAGTGAGGTGCCATCCCCAGCACTTCCCCACACATCCTTCTCTCACTTGGAAACACCTGCTCACTCTCCTATTGGTTTCTTAGGGGAGGACGATTGTATCTCTGATTTCTCAGCATGGTCAGGCACGTACGTACGTACCATTGAACAGTGTCTTAGTGAAGAATGGGCCAGGAGGTTCCACCACTATGGTGTTCCACTGTGAGTGGGATGAGAGCCTCCAGGCACTATGGACACGTAGCATGGGCAAGAGATAAACTTGTATAGTACGGAACTACTGTTGTTAAGGGCTGTTTGTTATTGCAACATAACCTACCATGTCCTAACTGATGCATACTGGGCAAGAATTGACTATGGCTCTTCCAGTTCAGGTTCTGATGTATATAGGTTAGTCCTTTGAAAATCTTGGAGATGCATCGTCTTGTTGAAAATATCCTCAACTCAGAATTCTCGGTGTGATTTATAACACCAGTTTGACCTCCTCTTGGTAATCGGTGACATGGTATATTAATGCCTTTGTTCTACTTTGGTTGGTAGATAATAAAATTATCTGAGCAATTTCTTAAGGCACTGTTTACTTTTTAAGGATTATTTTAAACATTTCCAATCTACCTTGAGAAGCAATTATGTGAAAAATATTGGGTGCTTTAAACATGACTTGCCCCATTGGACATTCGCTTGATATAAAATGAGGTGTGTGGCTGTATTTTATTTTATTTGTACTTTAATCTTTAGAAAAAAGAATTTCCTTAAAGCAGAGACTTTTCATGCCAACTTCATCATGACTGAATAATTCTTACAAAATACTACTAATTCTAATGATCTATTTGGGTGGGTAATAATAACAGAAGTGTTGACTTTGCATAATTATGATCCTGGTGGGCCCAAGTCAGCAATTGCATCTCACAGCTTGGGCCTTGTCACTTGTTAACGTTCAGAAATTCTCACAGAGTGAATATGACTCAGCGGATCATCATCACTCAAAAGACACAAGATAAAATTCCTTTATATTTGAAGGAGGCAGTGTCCTATCTCATGTTAACACCACTGGAGAAATCACACATGAAACATCAAATGAGATTGTTTCCTTACCGAGTACATTCTGCGGGTTACTCCCCAAATGCTGGGATGATTTCTCATTTATTGCATAGCTGAAGATGTTCCTACATTTTATATTTGTGTGTGTGTGTGTGTGTGTGTGTGTGTGTCCTTAAATCTCCTAATTCTGGTTCATAAATAACTTTTTCTAGTTTTCATGTCCTTTCTGAAATGCAGTGTTTCCAACGTGCACAACAGCACAGTCGGTGTGGAGGGCAGAGCGCTCGGAGAGTTCATATTCAGTGCCTGCTGTCTTTTCCCTGCGTAGATCCCTCTTTGGCACTCTCCGGAGCTATTATTGCCACCCCCACTTCTTTTCTCTCGGCCTCCAGCTCCCTGCATCCAGCTGGCCCCTGGGATTTCTTTATAGTTCCGGGCCCAGAAAAGAAGCAAATGAGATTTCTCCCACACTTCCAACCCAGAACCAACTCCGGGGACCCTCACAGGCTGCGGCTGCCTAAGTCCTTTCAGCCGCAGCGGGACAACACAGAGACTGAGCGGGGAGCGGCAGCGTCCGTACCGGTGCCGGGACCGTCTCCAGCATCAGAGAAGCTAAGGGAGGCGCAACTTCCTCTGGACACTGACAAGGGCGTTCTGTTCATACAGGAGTAAAATTATCCCAAGCCCAGGAGAAAGTTGTTTGATGTGCTGTTTAAATAAAGCTGTCACTCCCTGACATTAGTTTGCAAACACTTTGGGGAAAGGGAGGGTTTTTTTTTCCAATGGATGGAGCCCCTAAGTCGGAGCGGTTCAAGGGGTCCCTGCCCTGCTGGGCCTCGCTGTGGACCCCCGGGCAGCCCTGTGGACCCCCAGCGCTGTTTGAAAACTGTCATGTGGAAAACCAACTGGGGGGATCCCTGATCGCGAAAGTATCTTTTCTCTGAAATAGAATTCAGGTCACCTGGGCCTCTTGTTCGAAATGCAGGTTCCTGGGCCCGGATCCCAGACAGGCGCACTCAGGGAGTTTGGGCGGAGCCTGGGATGTGGATTTCTGTGCGCTTCCAGATGGTTCCGAAACCAGCACGAGCGGGTCATGCACAGCGCTGCATTAACTGTGGTTTCCTGGGGCTACAGCTGAGAGCAGCAATAACTGCAGATGGGTTTGGGGAAACGTTTTGAGTTGATGGAGCTTTTCTAAGACGGGATTGGGGTGACAATTGCACAGCTCTATAAGTTTACTGAAATGTGTCGTTCAGTAAATGGTGAATTTACAGTACTAGGCCCCTGAGCCAGGCAGTGTGACCCTGAAGGTAAAGAGAGGACCTGTGCCCAGCCCTTCTGGGGTTAGCGCTTTAGGATTCTCTGACTGTTCTCCCACCTGCTTTGTAAGAAATTAGGCAGCTCATCTGTTGTTCCCTGGCGACATCAGCAGAGGAAACATTATCTATGCCGTACATTTCCAACGTTCATGAAAACATTAAGTTTAATGTGTGAGGTAAGGAAGGTAAAACAGACTGCAAAGTGTGGTCAGTGGTTAGAGGGTCAGCCCATGCACTGAAGGGTCACAGTTTGATTCCTGGTCAAGGGCACATAAGTTCAATCTCTGGTCAGGCACTTGTGGAAAGCAGCTAATCTCTCTCTCTCTCTCCCTCCCTCCCTCCCTCCTTCCCTCTTTCTGCCCCTCCCCCCCTTCCTCCCTCCTTCTCCCTCTCTCCTTCACCTCTCTCCCTTCCACTCTTGCAACAATCAATGAGAAAAATATCCTGGAGTGAGGAATAACACAAAAGAAAGATACACTGCAAAGGAATTATAGCAATTCTTTCTTTCCTTAGAAAATCACAAAATCACCCTATATTTTGGAATAGCAATGTTATACAGATAAGCTCATGTTTGATGGTCAGTAACAAACCCCCACCAGAACATACAAGTCACTGGAATTTCATTGATGTACATGGCTTTTGTGATCCTGGGAGAAATATGAACTCAGAAGAGTTCATTTGAGGGACCATCTGTCTCAGGTGCCTTCTCACATGGCTTTGCATGTGGCAAGAAAGGTGGGTTGACCCATGTGAGTTTCATTCTTCCCCTTAGCCTGGGTCTTTATAGCCATACTCCTGGTTCGTTGAATTTACTATAGTATATAGTCACTTTTTAAATGCTTTAGAATAGTCTTTCATTTTAGGAGTATGTTTTGTGAGCAAAGAATAAAGCACCTTGAATATATTTTTTTAAAATAATGTCTGTGAAAATACAGATGAGTAGAATGATTGAGCTAGCGTGCTGTCCGATATATCAGTATTTTAAGGTCTGAAAGTGTCTCTTTCCCATCTGGCTGATTTCTTGGGAATAAGAAATCAGATTAGGCTAACAGCCAGAAAGTGCCTCTTGACTATAGGCTAGTACTGAACTTTACTCTTTCAATCCCAGTGTTTGTTGTGGGTGGGAAATGGTCGTTATTTTTAGTCGTGTTCTTGTCCATGTCAGTGCTAGAGTCTCATGCAAACTTATACAGCATCTTGATGCCTTTGTCTTTTACAAAGAAAACGCACTGGAGTCAGTTCCCTGGGCAGGTCGACAAAGGCGATGATTGTGCTCCTCGGCTCTTCCTGGCCCTAGAATCTTCTGTTCTTGGATTCTTGCTGTTCTCAGTAACTCAACCTAAAAAATCAAACACTAGTCGCACATCATTTTCTAAGCAGAGTCGTAGCTGTTATGGAGCTTATCGCTTTCTTCATGACCACATTCCCTGTTCAAATGTTCTGTAGCTCTACCTGGACGGCGTGACCTCTTTGCCAGGACGTCGGTGCTTGTGAAGTAACCAACCGTGGAGAGTCCCAAGCACCTGGCGTCTCTGCGATGAAAACCCACGCGATTGCTGACGTGCTGGTTCTCATCTTGTCTTTTCTATGTGTGTTTCAGGAAAAAAGTGCCAGTTCAAATGCAAGACTTAAAACTAACAAAGAGATCCCGGGATTAGTTCATCAACCCCGAGCAAAGTAAGTTCTCGTTCCTGTTTTTATATTGTTTTTAAAGCTAAAAATATTTTCAGAGTGAGTTCCATTTTGCCTACCAGATAACCAACTTATTATAAAGCTTTGTTAACTATGACCAGTGTAGATGGGAGAGTACAAAAACAGTCCATGGTATATGACAGGGCAGGCATTTAAGTGATCCGAAGAAAATAAAGGGGGATATCTTTATGGAGTAGAGAAAATTTTGAATAAGTCACAAAGGATGCGGATCTCAAGGAAAATGATTAATTATGGTGGCCACATTAAAATTAAGAACTTCTGTTTATCCAAACACACTGTAGGAAAGTAAAAGGCCAAAAAATGATGGAGCGGGTGTAATACAGGTCGACACATGTAACTGACAGTAGTTGGATTTGCAGAATACATAGAGTATTCCTACAAGTCCATGAGTAAAAGGTGGAGAACTCATAGAAAAATAGGCTAAAGACATGAACAACACTTTCCCTGAAGAGGAAACAGGGATGGCGAATCGATATGAAAAAAATACAAAATGTTGCCCGGGATATGGAACACAGGCACTCCTAACGCCTGCTGGTGGGAATCTGAATTGGTACAATTACTTTGGAAAACAATTTGCATTATCTATTAGAATTGTCCCTGCACATACCTTCTCAGCATCATCATCATCATCAGCAGCAGCAGCAGCAGCATCACTCTCAGGGCACAGAAGGGAAACACCCAGCCCGAGGGCTATATAAGGCCCTTGAGAAGTCATTTGGTCTCGCCTTGAAAAACAACTGCAGGCAGAACTCAAAATTCAATACGTCTATGAGCTTTTTTCTTAGCAACATAAATTTCTATCAAGTGAATTATATTAATTGAATGATGTTATAAAGATCCAAATGGCCCTTGGCAGAAGAATGGTCCCCACCCTGCTGTAGAGACACCCTAGGGCATGTGTGCCCGCAGAAATATCCATAGCAGCACTGTTCCTGTGAGCTCCTGCAGCTCTTGGATAGCTCCGAATGGACGGTGTGGCTTGGTTGGGTGTTGTCCTGTGAACTGAAAGGTTGCTGTTTCAATTCCCAGTCAGGACACATGCCCAGGTTTGGAGCTCAACTCCCAGTAAGGGGGTGTGCAAGAGGTAGCCTATTGATGTTTCTCTTCTCCCTTCTTCTCTCTCTCAAAATCAATATTAAATTCAAAAAAAAATTTTTTTAATGTAATGGCTAACAAAAATGCAGCATATTCTTTTGATAGGAATACTACATATCAGTGAAAATGAACAACCTATAGCTGTACATATCAAGAAGGAATCTGCCCTAGCCAGTTTGGTTCAGTGGATAGAACATCGGCTTGTGGACTGAAGGGTCCCAGGTTTTATTCTGGTCAAGGGCACATGCCCAGTTTGTGGGCTCTATCCTCAGTGTGGAGCATGCAGGAGGCAGCCAATCAGTGATTCTCTCTCATCATTGCTGTTTCTATCACTCTCCCTCTCTCCCTTTCTCTCTGAAATCAACAAAAATATATTTTTTTTAAAAAGAAGGAATTTTACAAATGTAAAGTTACAGTGGTAAAATAAGTAGTAGTACCTGCCTACATGTAGTTTCATTCATATAAAGTTCAGAAACAGGCAGAACTAAGGAATATAGTACATATGTTTTATATACTATCATATACTTTTATATGATAAAACAATAGACAAGCAAGGAAATGAAAAGGCGTTAAATTAGGAATTGTGGTTCTCTCTGACTCCATGGAAGACAGTGAGACCATAGGTTCTAATTCTTAATTTGAGTGGTGATTCCATGGATGTCCCTTTATTATTATTTGAAACCAAACCAATAACATGGTAGGTTTTCTCACAATTAGAAAGTTAAAGAGAATAATGAGTCATTTTCTAGATTGCTCTAGAACTGAATCTACCTTAGTGATAAAACGGACTGTGTGTGACATGAAAGCCAACTCCCTTTTCCTCAAAGAAGCTCTAGTATTCCAGAGGCTACAGATCTCTGCTCTGGGGCTCCCCTAAATATTAGCAAATCTCCTGGCAGTCTGGGTGACATTGATAAACTCCACACAGCCCCGCCCCATTCCAAAATAAATGTGACCATTACATACGTGTAGCAGTTGTCCCAAGAGTCAAAATCATGAGTAGAATAAATTGTGTTATCTCTGATTCCTCCCAGGAAATGGAGACAAAAATAGCCTAGTTCCTAATCACGTTAGCCTGGTCCGGGTCTGTGGCATTGCTTCAGCCATGGCTACTGCCCATGTGGCGATTAGGACTCTTCAGGGGGCGATAAATGAGCTCAGGGATTAAAGTTTGTCTATTTCAAAGAACATGAGGCATTTAAAAAATCCACTTATTCCCTCCAATGTCGGTATAACAGCACGGCCGGTGTTTGTGCCCGCAGGTGAGTGTGATGCTGTGCTCACAACCCCCCTCATTCACTTCCTGGGATCACTTTGACCTACGCGAACAACAGATATCCGATGACAGAACCTCATCCTCTTTTCATCCAAGCCAGGGGACGCATGCTATTTTTAAATGCCTCCCTTATCGCTGAGTTCTAAGCAGACACCGGATTAGGAGAACTTCTTTTTCATGTAAAAATTCTAATTTAGAATTTCATGTCGAAATTCTAACATTCATGTAGAGTGAATCCTAATTTAACTGACACACTGAAACAGCAAGTTTTGCAAACTGACATAAAGCTCTCAGAGAACTTGATTAAACTGGCTCTTGTGTTTATATTAAAATTATGAAGAAAATCCTGTTTTCCACACAGTAGCATCCGTGTGTGTGTGTGTGTGTGTGTGTGTGTGTGTGTGTGTGTGTGTGTGTGTGTAAACTGTCAGTCAGAGCATTGAGTTCATGGAATTCCACTCAGAAATCCTTCTGGAGCCCAAGAGAGGAGTGTTACTTCTCCTACTTGCTGACTCACAGGATGAAGGAGGCCCATTTATTATGCAGTTGTATAAAATAAGATAATGAGGGTTTGTTTGTTTTCCCCCCAAAAAAGTGGAAGGACAATCTCATACCAGACAATGGCAGATGTGTTGATAACAAAGACAGGTAATTCTCACATCTTCACTTGATGCAACTCTTGGAACACATTATTATGACTTTGTGATCTCAGGCAAGTGACCTGGCGTCTCAGAGCTTCAGTTTTCTCAGAGAACAAGGAGGGGGAGCAGTCTCTCAGGGCAGGGGAGCATCGAAATGATGTATGACCAGTGCTTATCACAGTGACGCGGTAAGAACGCCTTACTATTGAGAAAACACCCAAATGGCCTTTACCAAGGAAGTGGGGAAAATAAACTCCACCTTCTTCGCACAGTGGAATATTCAAGTTAATATTAAATTAGTTCATTGAAAGTTAGTATTTAAATTCATTAAGATGAATGCACAAGGCTGGATGGGCCTCGTCAATGTAATGCCAGAAGAAATAAGTAACCCCTGAAAGATTGCATTGAGCATACAATCTTTTGTAAATTTTTTTGTAAAGTTAAAAAAAAACACAAAACTAAATCATGGTGGGAGGTAAGTTCGCTCTAGGTTGTGAAGGTTCTAGCTTTTGTTTTTTGTTTTGGTTTCATGGGTGCTTATTAGACTATTTTTAAAAACTAACAAACAAAATAACTAAAACTGAGCTTGAGCCATGCATGAGCTACAAGCAAGGGTGTGTCGTGATGTGAGGACTAGGGTTAACCCCACTTCCCTGAGGCCCAATTGAAAAATAATGATGATGACCATGAAGAAATAACCATGTTCAGGCCAAGATCTGCCGGGAACTCACTGAGTAACTGAATTTCATTTTTGCAGATGATGTATGAGAGAATTGGGGCCTTGCCTTCTCAAACTTTTCTGGCTTAAGTTTTTATTATTTGGAAACTTTTCCTTCAGTCATTGAACATGAAAGCCGCGTGTCTTTCAGCTCCAAAGCTCATTTTGCTCACCTTTCTTTCTTTTTTTAAAATATATTTTTATTGATTTCAGAGAGGAAGGGAGAGAGAGGGGTGGGGGGGGGGGGGGAGAGAGGGAGAGAGAGACATCAGTGGTGAGAGAGAATCATTGATTGGCTGACTCCTTCATGCCCCACACTGGGAATACAACCTGACTGGGAATCGAACCGTGACCTCTTGGTTCATAGGCTGATGCTCAACCACTGAGCTACGCTAGCCGGGCTTTCCCACTTCATTCTGTTCATTCGCTTACTTGTCAGGAAGATTCCATCATCTTGTCATATCTAGTCTCGTGGAGCTGAGAAGTCAGAGAAAGAACACCTATGCTAGCACAGGGTTCACTCATAAGAGCACTGCCAAGGTCAACAGGGCCACACACTGTCCTCCATGCGATCCTAGGTTTTCCCAGTTGGAGTTGTCGTTATTAGAGAAAAACAGGGATTACTAAAATTGTTAAGCTTCATTAGTTAAATCAGGCACTACCATACAGGCTTTTGCAAAAGACTTTTACATCTAATTTAGCATCAAGTATTTATACTTTTTAAACTAAATCATAATTCAATTATTCCTTTCTAATACCTGGAGGAAACGTAGAAAACCAATGTGCTTTTTCCTCCTCCTGGCTCCTCACTCACGGTCCTCAAATTGTGCATCAGAAAGCCCCCAGGAATCTCGTTTCCTAGGGACTGTTTCGCACAGTGCAGTGTAAACTTTTGAACAAAAAACAAACAAACAAACAAAAAAACGTATTAATGCCACTGTGTTGATGGGTTTCCATAGGAGGAGAGTTTGTTCACATTTATCTAAGCAGCAGTCAGTCTATATGGGCTGATTTATTGCGTCAGAGTACAAATCCTGTCTCTGCCCTTGTTGGCGGGTTTCAGGACTTCTCTCTGAAACCATCGTGTGGAAAAGAGCCAAGTAAGCCGCATGCATTCAGGTACATCCTACCCAGGAGGATGCACAGGTGGCAGGAACCACATGTGGGGCCTTTGTGCCTTGTGGCAGTGTCTGTCACTTCCCGGGACAGCCGAGTTTGTCTGAAAGAGCTTGTGTAGAGCTCAGGATTGGACGATAACTAAGTCACCCTACTAACACACTCTAACACAGTCCACATGCTGTCTTCCAAGGGGCAAAATAGCGAATGAGCCTGGTGGGTTGCTCTTCCTTGTAGGTGTCTGAATGAGGCAGAGGCAGGCAGAGATGCTGGACTGCTCTTAGACAAGGGAACATCAGGCAGCATCTCTGTGTCAAGGTTGTGATCCTAGAGATGCTCTGGATTGAAGGCTTTGGTTAGAATTGTCTCTACAAGGGGACAATTGTCGTCACCATCACTTTTGGTCCCAAGCTCCTGATATAGACTTGAGCGTGGACATTCTTTTTTATTGAATTTATTCGGGTAATATTGGTTAATAAAATAATATTAGTTTCAGGCATACAATTCTATGAAACATTGTTGTTGATTGTATTGTGTGTTTACCACCCCAAGTCAAGCCTCCTTCCATCACCATTATCCCCACTTTCCCTTCTTCTCCTTCCCCCTCCTCCCCTTTCCCTCTGGTGATCACCATACTGTTGTCTGTGTCTGTGAGGCTTGCTGTTTTTGTTTGTTCGTTTGTTTGTTTGTTTGTTTGTTTTCTTAATGGGACCCAGACACTCTTGCTCACAGGAAGGCAGACCCATTTGGAGAATGGACTTCACTGAAGAGTATACCTTTGTCCATCTAATGTGTACATGTTGAGTACTAACCATAATCCTTGTTTCCATGCTGTAATAGTTCAATAGAGGAGTGAATGGAAGTTAGCAACAGTCAGAGAGCGTGAGTGCAGGAAGGTTTTCTAGATGAGAAATGAGAGGTGTGTGCCTCACCCCTGCTAACATCTAGGTTGCCTCTGTGAAGTGATGAATCACATGCATTTAAATAGAGATCATGTGGTCAATTCATATCCTATATATTGCCCTTCCCATCGGTGATCTCAGTTCTACTTACCCATGGTACCACATTCCTCTCACGAGGTTTGCTGTTAAATGGGGTAAGACAAGCAAACACACAGGGCAAGTTCTATCCAAGCCTGCCTCCTGACTTTCTCCTTTATTCCAGTGGAATTTCTGCCCCTGAGAGGTGCATTCACTGTCGCCAATGCAGAAGGAGTTCAGGGCCAATGTCAAGTTCTCAGCTCATTTGCTGCCAGCCCACATCTAGACAGCTGAATAGCATGCTGATGCTTTGCAGCATACACATTTCCATATAATAACTAGGGTTATACACAGGGTGGAAATATGCCACATGCTGCTTGCCTATCCTTTTTCAAATTGCAAATCTGCATCTGAAGAAAAATTTGGCACATACTTCCCAGTTACACCACTATAAATAACATATACATAGACAGGAATTTGTGTTGTTGTTTTTTAAATCACAGGCATTGATAGACCCTTATGAAATGCATTTGTAGGATTACTGTAATAACACTTATTCTTACTGTAACTTCAGAGTATTTCTGTGGAAAAGTCTGCACTTAAGAAATGTCCACCTCCAAGTTTAGGGACTCGGCATTTTTCTTGAAGGAGGAGGCTTACGAAAACACTGAAATATGCGCTGTTTGTTTTTCAGCATGCACATCTCTGAGAGCCAACAAGAATTCTTCAGAATGCTGGACGAAAAAATCGAAAAGGTAAGGAGCCAAACAAAGTACATGTTTCAAGACGAATTGCCTCTCGAGTGAGGGTCACAAAGTTATTCTTTGTAAGAGGTTGGGTAGAAAGTTAAGACAAAAGTTCCCCCCTCTAGAAAATGTGACTACGAGAATGTGTCTAAGGAAGCTTCCCAGGACCCTGGGCTACCCCCAAACGTTAATTGATGTGGACAACGCCAGGTAGAGACCCGTTGTCTAGGGGCAGCGTTCTGATCACTGGGTGTTGTCTGCCCCTGATGCCCTGCTCTGACCTCAGACTGCAAGCAAGAAGGTACCTGCCGACAGCGACCTAGTGCCTGACACTCCTCTTAAGTTCTTACATCCTGTGCACATTGCAATCAGTAGCCACCTCAGGGTAATGACTATGAGCATGTATTACCTGCATTTTACAGGCAAGGAAACTGAGGCTCAGAGTGCTTGCGTAACTTACCCCGTTTTGCAATGATGATAATAATGATAATGACATGTGGGGTCCACTTCTCTGTGGCTCCAAAGCAGAGTCTCCAAGTGGCTCCTCTAGGGATGTGTGGGTTTTACATTGACAGTGAGATGCAAGGATGATCCATGTGGAAATGGGACCCGTATTTATGATCTCCGAGTAGCACATGCTAAGCAGCTGAATGAAGTGTGGTCTATGGTTAATAATTACAGGCTTGCATCCTTGGAGAATTTAAGGTCATCGCTGCAGAAAGGTGAATTTTAAAATCGGAGTGTTATCACTTGAAAGCTTTATTCAGAAGAAGAGTAAAATCTTAACTCTAGAACATGCCATTACTATAAAAAGGCATCCCAGGCCAATTTTACCTTTGAAATTTGTTCTGTTTTCATGTTTCTTTCTTTTTTTACTTTTTGTAGTCCTTTTATCTCTCTGAGCATTTGTCCATGAATTTCTCAATTGTGATCTCTACCACTCAACAGAAGATAATGAAGAGGTCTTAAATTCATCGGTATTTCAGCAGAATAATTGTACAATAAGAATAATTATATATTCTAATGCACCACTAAAAGACCAGCAAATATCACCAGTGTGAAAATAGAGATGGATAATGAATTTAAATGGCAGTTTAGTTTATATCACTCCCTGACTGTACAAAAACCTCACTTTAGGAATATATTTTATTTTTATTTTTAGTGAAATTTTGGCTTATGCATGACTTTTTTAGATGGAAATTTTACCAAGTTTCACATATTGGTTCAAAAGCTGTTCAACTTGCCGATACGTTTTGTTTTAGTAAAGAGAAGCATGAAAAGAAATTATCTGTCCCCTCTATTTTGGTGAAGATCTTTTCGTTGTCAGTTTATTTGGATTTTTTCCTCTGCTAGCTTCCTGGTGGCAAAATGATCTGCTTAGTAGTCAGGGGTAGCCTGTAAAAACTGAAATCCGAATTGTAATTTGTCTTTTAAACAATCTGACACAGCATTAAAATGATCTAATTTTTTTCAGGTGCGTTTCCATAATTGAAATTCTACCTCCTTTTTACTCAAAAGTGAAATTCATAGTTCCCATCTGCAATTCAGTTTCCACTTTTCCTTTTGCATAGGGGTGTAGAGAGAATGATGAGTTAAAAACAAGAGTTCCCACTATGGAATACATTTTTTAATTTCTCAATTACAGTTGACATACAATATTATATTAGTTTCAGGCGTACAGCCCAGCGATTAGACATTATATAACTTACTTAGGTGACCACCCGGTAAATCTAGTTCAGCAAGGGCGTGTCATTTCATCTGACCTGGGCCAGGGCTAAGTCTGAAGTCCCTTCCATCCAGGTCCAAAAAAATTGAGGGTTTACTGTATAAGGAACCAGTTACAACACGGAACATTTGTATAAGATAACGTTCCTTTATTTAAAGGGAACCTGAACACGCTATTTATTAGGAAGATGGGGCTGTAGGAAAACCATAATTTGGATTAATGGTTTTCTTGTGTATAAAGTAAGAAGAATCATTTTATTAAAGGCCATTTTGTTGAACACTGCTGTTTGATGGTAGCATGGCGGCCACTGGGGGGGCCAAAGCCAGCCACCAGACAAGAATGCTTTTTACATGTTCTCATGTGGGGGAAACAAGAAGCAGAATCCTATTTTCTGACATGAAAAAATATGTGAACGTCCAAATTCAGTGTCCACAAAGTTTGATTGGAACACAGCCACGTTTTTGTTTTGTTTTTTTCTTTCATCTGTGGCTGCCTTCACACTTACATCACTAGAGTTGAGTTGCAACAGGAACCATACGGCCTAGTGTGTTTGCTGTTTGGCCCTGGACAAAGAAAGTGGCCCACGCCTGTTCGAGAACATCAGCTGAGTGTGGCCCAGAGACAGGGGCACCCACCTTCTTTGTCCCTCCTCCTCCTCACTCCTGGTCACTTCCTTCTGGGGAACAGCATCTGTGAGGACACCTGAATGCCATCATCAGAGAAAGCTGGAGAACTGTGTGCCATAAAGCTTCTCAAATAGCCTCCCTCTTGTCTGTGGAATGAGGATCTGGGTTTATTAAACACTTCACGAGGGGTGGGGATTCAAGCCGTTTAGTTAATACTCATTTTCTCTTAGAAATGAAAAGCCCAACATACTGGAATTGTTGTCACTGCTGTCTATCTGTCGGTACCCTGGGGATCCTTCCCTTCTATGGTCCCAGGAGCTGTCAGAGGCTGGAGGCTGTCACACTCCTCCTGCTCATGACAAACCCAGACCTTCTTCCAACTGAAATAATAACATGCGTGTCTAATTAGAACAAAGCCTGTTAGAATCAGAGACGGCCATTAATACCTCGATTGGTTTTTCTAATGAACTAAGTCAGGGGAGGAGACTCACACAGCGCAGCTAGCTCCTGACTTCTGCTTTTCTTCGGCGTTTGTTGCAAATGGTTGTTGGGCCATAAGTGAACGTGCTGTTGAAGCACACCCTGTCTGGAGAGGCTCTGTGCGTCCAGCCCTGGCCACAGTCCCACAGGAGGAGGATGGAAGAGCGGCCCTCCACAGGGGGCAGGGGACCTTTCATTCTACTTCCCCAGCCTTCCTGCCTCCTCCTGATCGTGTTCGTTCTGGATTCCAGCTCACTGTGCCCACTGCCCACGGGGTGGAATGCGGCCCTCCCGCCCTGTACTCCTGCTTCAGGGGCAGAACCTCATGGCCAGATGCTCATAGGAACTTGCATCGGAGGTAGTCTCCTGCTGGTGATCCCTGGAGGGAAAGGTTGCCGGGGAGGAGTGTTAGGGGGGCAGAGACGGACGATGGCCTGTTAAATTTCTGCACCAAGATCCAGGTGTGGCATTCGGGGTTCATTACTCAAGATCCGGTGCTTGGAAAGCCGGTCAGTTGCACAGAGCAGGGTAGAAAGCTAATGCAGGAGGCATAACTGAGTCAAGAAAGCCCACAGTCAGGAAGAGCGAGGAGGAAGACGAATCATGGAAGGAAGCAGATAGTAGGTAGGAGAAACGATATACCACACAGGCTAGAAACTAACAGGTGCTCCCAGCATCATCCCGAGAGATCAAGGAGAGAAGGATAACTTCTTCGGTTGGTCGGTCGGTCAGTCAAAACACAAGAGCCTGCTTTGTGACAAGTATAGTTCACACTTCCATACAGAAATAAGCCTCGTTGAACCCAACTTTTATAACAAGCCTTCATTACAAAAATGCATGTTTGCCTTCACCAAACATGAAAACCTTGACTAGTACATGTGAGGTCTTATTTTTTAAAATTGTGGGGAAGAGACACCAACGTGTTGTTCCACTACTTTATGCATTCATTGGTTGGTTCTTGTATGAGTCCCGTCTGGGGATTGAACTGGCAACCGTGGCATATCGGGACAATGCTCTAACCAACTGAACCACCTGGCCAGGGCTCAGTGTGAGGTTCTTTAATGCAGACCTTGGTGACAACAGCAAAAGGCATAGTTTAGGATGCCTGATTGGATGTTGGTGAATAACAGACCGTGGCCTTCTGTTATTCACTATTGCTCCCCCTGCCTCTGATGTGCCTCTCCTGAGTTCCAGGCCATCCTCAGAACCAGGCTCTGTCTCCGTCTCTGCTGATACTTCTGCTAAAGACATACTCTGCATTCGCTGAATTGCTCAAGAGGGCTGCTTTTTCCACCATGACCTGCAAAATCTGCTTCGCTTATGAGAGTCCCAGGACAACTCTTATCATGTCATCCAATATCCTCCACCTCCATCCTTACACACACGTGCACACACACAGCACTACCTCCCTCCAGACACCCGCCTATGCATAACCTTTGTGAGAGGGGCCACACACAAGGATTCCATTAGGTACCAAAAAGACACGTTGGCTAAAATCACTATAAAATGTGGCGGTGGTGGGAAGGACCACTGGAAGAGGAAGAGAGCAGCCCCTTGAACAGTTAGGGGAAATGTCACTTGAAGAGATGATGTTCTGATGAGATCCTAAAGATGCAATAGGCTGGGGGTGTGAGAGAGAGAAAGCAATGTGTGTGAAAACAGTGGTACCCAACAAGAACCTGCTGTTTGGGACACACGTTGAGAGGGCCTGGTGGTGTTCGCTTGGCAGCAGCAAAGGAACCATCACTCAGGAAGCGTTTTTTATTGGTGGAGTTAAGTGGAGTGGATATTGGATTGATTTTTTTTTTTCATGCTTCATCAAAATGCTGCGATGAAAGTATTTTTACACATACTTTTAACAACTTTATGGAGCTATAATTTACATACCATGAAATTTACTCATTTGACCTGTACAAGTCAATGAATTTTAGTAAATTTACCGAATTGCACAACCATCACCACACTCCAGTTAAAAAATCCCCATCACCTCCATAAGATCCCTCCTGCTCACTTGCAGTCAATCCTCTTTCCCACCTCCAGCCCAGGAAACCAATGCATATATATATATATATATATATATATATATATATATATGTGTGTGTGTGTGTGTGTGTGTGTGTGTGTGTGTGTGTGTTTGGGAGTTTATCTTTGGATACTGATTTCTATAACGAAGGGTG